ATTTTCAAAAAAATTAATAAGATTTTTCCAAAAATTAAAAATTTTTGAAAGTCGGAATAAAAAAAAAAAAAAAAAAAAAAAAACCCCAATTCCCGATTTAAAAAAAAAAACAAAAAAAAAAACCCCGGGAATTGGAAACTTCTCAAAATTCGTAATGAAAAGTATTGTTTAAAATTAAATTAGGATTAGAGTCAACAAAAATCGAAATATTTTGTTCAAAGCCACGCCTTTGGAACTTAAAAAAAAAACTCGATAAAAATTCAGAACGAAACAAGTTTAAAGAGACATGCGTACGGTAAATAATTGAATTAAATAGAATTTACCTGTAAGGAATCACCAACAATGAAGAAAAAGGAGGTGGGATCAGGTGGGACAGCAACCCACGTACCATCTTTGAGACAGATCTGAAGGCCTGATGTGTTATTGGATTTGACGACAGATATTATTTGTGGGTCTGTGTGTTCTCCGAACCCGATCAAATCCTGACCGTTCATTAGTAACGGTTGAAGAATCTGATGATGATTATTATCCGGGCATGGCGGATAGTGATTTACCCTAAAACAAGAATCACTTTTCTCATTCTTTATCAGCTTACTTAACACATCTTTATTATTACTTCCAATTTTCAGTTCTTCAGCTATCATTTCCAGCACTTCACACACCATTTTCCTCACTGCACAAACATACTCATTCACAAGACACCTGCAATAATAATTCATTAATATTATTTTTTTCAAACTATTACCGGTTTTACCCTTGTCGCTAATAAGTATTTATTTGAAGAGAAAAGAGCATGCATGTAATTAATAGGTTTGATTATCTTAATACGTGTAAAGGGTAATTTTGGGTTTTAACCACTAACGTAACGATCCATTTTTTTTTTCTTTTTAAGTGTTCCTTTAAGGTAGATTCACTATGATTACAAATAATTAAAATCAAATAAATTAATAGGTTTAATTCTTAATTTAATACATTAAATCTTTTCTTTATCACTTCATTAATATTTTTGTTCTTTCATTTAATAAAAAATATGTGTTCTTGCAATAAAAGAAACGGATGGAGTTTAATGTATGTATATATACAGTAGAACCTCGATAAACTAATTAATACTCGATAGATTAATAATATCGCTTAAATTATATTTTTTTCGATCCCAACTCGTTTGAATTTATTAGTTTAATAATTTAATATTTTACTCAAATAATAGAATTTCGTTTATATAGGTTCAAATATATATATATATATCACATGTGTATAATTAAAGAGTAATTAAAGAGAGAAATATTAAATTAATTAATTATTACCAGAGAGTGTCTGAAATTCCGGGGCAAATGGATTTGGAGTCGGTGGAGAGAAGAAGATACTCAACCCATCCCACATCACCGTTCGGCCCGATTTTCTTGTTACCATACCCAAACGGGCTCGGTGGGCCCGATTTCTCCTTTTCTTGCTGTGGCAGTTTGAAAAACTCGACAACCTCGGATTCAAGTCTGTCCAGAAACTCCATTGAAACGCCATGGTTGGTCACCTTAAAGAACCCGAATTCCTTGCAGGCTTCGAGTATAAGCTTCTTAGCATTGGAGTAATCTGAAAGATCCACAGCTGGAATTATATTGATTTCACCTGTGGGCTTGCATGTTTCGAAGTGGGCAAAATTGTCAAGAACTGGCTGAGATAATACCACCATTTTTTTTGTTGGGGAGAATTACTGGAGTTTTAGAGAGAAAGAGGAAGATTTAAGGTTGCTGAAAACTATGATGCATGGAAGAGAGATGAGAGAGTATGTAGAAGGAGAAAGGCGTTGGAATCTATGGAGTGGAGGGACATCTGGCTTTGTGTGTGTGTGTATATATATATATATATATATATATATATATATAAATAAATAAATAAATATGGGAAAAATATAGTTTTCGTCCCTCAAATGTGAATTGATTCCACATTTGGTCCTTTATACACTACGCCAAAATCCATTTCAGGCGACGAAAATTTGCGACGAAAAAAGCGTGTTTGCAACGAAAAAAGACAATTTGCGACGGATGTGTTGCGACAAAATGAACGCCAAAAAAAAGTCAAAAAAATCGCCGTCGCAAATTCGTGCGACGAAATTCAAAAATAGTCGCACTATTTGCGACGTTTCAAGAGAAAAGTCGCAAACCTTCATTTTTTCGTCAAGGCAAATACTGCGACGGAAATTTCAGGATTCGTCGCAATTGGTTGCGACGTTTCCACATAATCGTCGCAATGTTTGGCTTTACATTTGCGACATAAAATAGATAAATCGTCGCAATATTTTATTGTACATTGCGACGGAATATTATAAAACGTCACACAAATATATATATATATATATTTTTTATTTGCTGATTTTATTTGTTTAATTAATAGCTAATTATCCTGTAATTATGAACAATACCAATAAAATTAAATACACAAAAGCATTAAACAACTCAAATTTTATATCCTTAAGTTAAAATCATCCAACGATAAAAATAAATTACCAAATGTGACGCCCGCCTTCTATGAAGCGTTTGTCAAATTACTCTATGAAATTACCCGGTCTACTTTTTTTTTTTTTTTCATGGATAATACTAATTACTAATCAAACTATAGTTCACAAAAATACGTACGATTTATTTATTAACAACCTCACTTCTAGCAAGGTAAAGTACAAAGGTTCCGAACATTTATAACAACAGCTCCTAGCTTATGAGATTACAATACTATAACATAAATAAGTTAAAACGCTGATATTTATAATACAAGACAGCGATTATTCTTAACTTAATCGAACCACTATTTTACAAATATAAACAAGATAACTACTCGGACGCGAAATCCTCTTATTCGTTCAAGTTGCACCTGTGTCTGAGAATATGACAGAATAAAGTAGAGGGATAAGTCATAAAAGACTTAGTGAGGTGAAATATAAGAATAACGAGTTACGACATGATCTGAAAGAAAGTATGATGATCGAACCAATTGGTGATATCGGAAAATAGAAGCGATGAAAGATTATCCATCGATTGGAAATTCAAGAATAATAGTAAGGATGATCAATAAATTTTCCGATCAATAGAGATAAGAATACACCTACCTTGTGACTCCCGTAGCCGTTTACTACCTTATTCACCGAGCAGGGAATGACCCTGTAATGCAATGTGGCATGCCCGGGCGCATGCCGGTTTAGCCCGAAACCCAACTAACCTCCAGTTGTGTACGGGTCTAAACCTATGTGGGTACTGTTGGAGAGACTACCCACCGTCGGCCCGATACCGCCCAGCGGTCACCTCCAAACAGCCCCGGGCCCATTAATATCCATTGTCCTTGAGGCGTCCCAAAAGGATTTTATCGATCATATAAGAAGACCATATTTCTGATTATTTCAGGATTTCAAAGACAAAAGAATTCCGAAGAAATGGGATCAAGTGAAAGGTTTCAAAGAGGGCTCGATGTATCAAGATGTGAAGTTTAGATAATTGAATAAAACTTGAAGGAAAATGATCGGCTTCAAAGAATTTCATACCGATCACTCAATAAGTACTATTCGAAGGAAATGGAAATCAAAGAGTTGAACACTGGATAAGATAGCATTTCTCAAATAATCTCAAGCTCAACATCATCAAATCAATTTCAAATAACGATAATCAAATGATAACGAGTAGATCAATTCAATGAAAGGGAGCAAAATTCAAGTACTCGAGCGATACAATTACCCGAGTTTATCATATTCCCAGAAAAGGTCAAGCAAGAGAACCCTCACCTCGGTCCAATCAAGAGTACTCGTCGATCTCGGTTCCTCGATCTCAAAACCTATGCAAAATTTAAACTATAAGACACCAAATTATTTATTAAAATAAAATGATATACACTCTACGTTCCTAGCTTTATGTGTTCTTAAGGTCGAATAATTCACTTACCAATTCTAGATTAATCTAACCCCGTAACTAACATCAAAACTTACGACATAACCATCACGTTTATGTTACCAGGACGAAGACCAATAAAATATGTTCATATATGACGACTTTCTTAACATAATAATAAAACGTATGTGCTGCCACAGTTTATTCAAAAATTCATAACAAATTCCACGTTTATCCAAATTGCTCACATGATATACCGAATGAAAGCTAACAAATAATACTACGAGTTCACAGAAGACTTCCACCCCTGATTCTGAACCAAAAATAGCAGAATTTCCAAAAACCAGCCTATAACAGAACTGTCGAACATTGAAAATTCATTTCTGGTACAACTTATTTGAAAATTAATAACATGCTATACATATCTTCGAAACAGAACAAATGATATACCAAATTAAAGCTAAGAACAATATCTACAAGTTCAATGAAGACAACATTCTCAAATTATGAGCACAACATAACTAAAACAGCCCCCGAAAAGGTTTATAAAAACTGCCGGTATTTACATAAATCCATTTTCTGGCAGTATGTTTGAAAAATCGTAATAATTCGAAATGTCATCCAAATTTAACAAATAGTATATGAAATCGAACATAACGACTTCATCCACAAATCGACAGAAGACATTGAACTCAAATTATGAATCAAATATACAGAAAACAGCCCGAAAAGAATAATCATATGAGCTGCCAGAATTGACAGCTTCAACGCCCATATTCTTCCGCTCAAAAATCCTATAGAACTCAATCATATGGAACGAGCTTCAACATATAATTAACATGTTCCAGAAAATCTATGACATATGAGAAGAAACGATTTTAAAATTCGAATTCCAAAGCTCCCAAATTCTGTTCCGAAAATCAGAGTAACAACTACAAGTTTTATTTTCGAAAATCTTTGAAGCTATTGTAGAATTAAAATCAGTTCCAAAAAGATTCTAAAAATTGGGGAAAATCAATCATTCGGACAATATTCAGCCTATTCTACAATTTTGGTGAAGAAATAAATCCAAAATTTCAATTCTCAATACCTCTAATTAAATCCGAAAGGTTTTAGGATCAGCTGAACTTCGCCGTCGGATCACAGCTATCACCACCGGAGGAACGAGCCGGAAACTACCACCAAAACGAAGCTTATATAGAGGGCTTTCGAGCGCTACACCCCGCTCGCCAAAACTCCGTCGGAAAGATCGTCAAGTCACCATCTTTGTCTCCGTCGATTAAACCCGCCTCGTATTCTTAACTTCTCTCTGTGGTTTTTTTGATATTCAATCTCTTGAATTTTTGGGTTGTGCTTAGTTTATATGATGAGTAAGAATGGGAGTGATGAATGAAATTGAGACGAGATGAGGAGGTATTTATCGGAGGAAGAAGACGATGATGACTCTACACCTCGAGACACGCGGCTCTGCCTCAATTTTCCAAATAAACAAAATTCCATTCTTCTCAATTATCTGATAGATGTAAACTTACGTCATTTCCTTGGTTACTAAGTTGCTAGTTTATTATTTATACTTATACCCCAGATTTATCTACTAATATCACTTCAGCCACCTAAATCTAACTATATTATTCATTAATGAATAAACTTCAATAATATACATATATAAACTATTATTATACCACATAATATAAATTAAGGGGTGTTACACCAAATATGAAATTAAAGTACAAAAAAAGTTAATGTTGTAGGCTTGTAGCATTACAAATACAAGATCAGTTGATCTTCAATTTCCTCATTCATCTTCATAATAGTTAGTTGCCCGCGACAAAGGAATTTTGTTGCCCATTCTCATTCGCAATCTGTTGAAAACACACAAATCACATAATTATGGAGTGCTCGATCAATATTCAATAATTCAAAATTCATATATGATCCATGAACTTGCAGTTAGCTGATAATAAAGACGTAGCATGAGGAAATAATATGGAAACGACGAATAACTATATGAAGCAGTAACAACCTTGAATGGCTCGTTATCTTTCCTGAAGCTAATCGAAAATACCCTGCACATATTGTAGCAAAAACAAGAACATGGTGAGTGAAAGAAAAATAACTATCATACAACTAAGAACATATATAAAAATATTTTGAATTACATAAGTTGTCAAATTTTCATTCTGCACAAATACATGGCCCAATGCAACGATTAACGTGTACCAATGCACATCATAATAACAAAAGTTTTGCATCTGATCAACAAAATACATCATATGCAAGTCTAATACCCAAAAGTTTTGCATCTGAAAACACGTTTTTTCACACAAGAACCATTTGTCTCAAAATAATTATTTTCGACAATTTTTCAATCCGTTCATGTAGCTAGCCGACATATATGTAGTTCATTTATAGTAAATAAAATCAAGCTTAAACCAACCATGAGTTTTTCTACTCACATGTTTGTATCAATACAATCTTCATTAATAACCATGAACCTTTAGACATGATAATTAATAATCAACGAACTTACATTGGTTGCGCCGGCATATAAAACTGATGCATAGTTTTTCTCCCATTGTTATGGAAATCCCTTGAACGGAACTTCATATCTTTAGATAAGGTAGTGATACCTCGATGTTGTTAGCATGGGGCACAATGGTTTTATTTCGGTGAGGAAAGAGGGAGTTGAGAGGGCCTTAACATGCTAAAGTTTAAAATCTGCTGAAGATCAGAATTTCATGTTATTATATTTTTTTTTCCTTGATATATGTTTAAAACATAATAAAACAAGCATGCGCTTTTATATTATCTAATTGCTGCAAATAGTATAAGGAAGAAAATCAACATTCAAGAATATGATAATTAGTACCTAAACAAAGGGAAAAGGAAAAACACATTAGATACAAAACATAGAATTGTTTCATGAGAAACAAAGCATAAAAGATAAAACCTTTTGTTGACGAATTACCAGTATAGCAGGACTTAGGCTTGCAAGATCAAGGGGTAATGTTTCCCTAGTTTACATTTGATTTTTTGCGAGTCAATCCATTCTAAAACAGAAACAATCACAGGTAAACCATCAAGAGAAGATAAAAAGATTTCTTCCTAAGTCTGCAAT